AAAAAAAAAAAAAAAAAAAAAAAAAATAAAAAAACACATCATAGTAAAATTAATACCTTCTCAGCTTCGCATCGAAGCTAAAAGCAGCTGATTTGTGTATTGTATACACACAATTTTATTTCAATTCATTTATTTTAGCTTCGATGCGAAGCTGAGAAGGTATTAATTTTACTATGATGTGTTTTTTTTCTTTGTGTCTGTTACAAATTTTTCTCTGCTCTCATAGAACTGATTTTTTTTAACGATACGTCAAAAGATCACAAATAGTATCTAGTCGAAGACATTACCCTCAAATATTGAAAAAATTTCCCTCGTTCCCTGTAAATAGAGGAAATCTCCAAAAAAATACAAATTTAAAAATGGCTAATTTTCGAGATTTTTTAACAATTTTTTTGCTTAAAACTTTTTTAAAAATGATCCAATCAATATAATTTTTTTTTTTAGATGCATGATGTCTTTACCTATCATTTGATATATTAGCTTCGATGCGAAGCTGAGAAGGTATTAATTTTACTATGATGTGTTTTTTTTCTTTGTGTCTGTTACAAATTTTTCTCTGCTCTCATAGAACTGATTTTTTTTAACGATACGTCAAAAGATCACAAATAGTATCTAGTCGAAGACATTACCCTCAAATATTGAAAAAATTTCCCTCGTTCCCTGTAAATAGAGGAAATCTCCAAAAAAATACAAATTTAAAAATGGCTAATTTTCGAGATTTTTTAACAATTTTTTTGCTTAAAACTTTTTTAAAAATGATCCAATCAATATAATTTTTTTTTTTAGATGCATGATGTCTTTACCTATCATTTGATATATTTTTTTTATAAATCTGACCATTTACCTGCCCACTAGGGGGATTCAAAACGTCAACTTTTTCTTCTTAACTTTTGAAGGTGTTCCAGAAATACTGACACATTTATATATATCTTAAAGTAAAGCTTATGTAATATACTTTATTATGGAAAAAAAAAATTCGCACTTTATTTTGTCTATACGGTGAAAGTGGCTACCATATGATATTTTTGTGTTAAAATTCTCGATTTTATATTTTACATTTTTAACTTTAAAATGCTATAATTTTTTGAAAAATGTATGGATCAATACAATTTTTTTATGAGAAATAATATTTATAATACTTCTTTCATTCGACATACTTTTATTTTAAATCAGACTATTTCTCTTAATACAGGGGGGTCAAAAACTTAAAAATACATTTAATTTTTGAAAGTGTTCCGGAAATACTGACACTTTTATATATATTTTAAATTGAAGCTTATGTGATATATTTTATTATGAAACCCAACCCAACCAAACCCAACCCAACAATTAATTTTTTTATTTTTAATTTGATGCTATAACTTTTTGAAAAATACATGGCTCAATACAATTTTTTTTAGATAAGTACTATTTATATTCTTCTTTTATGCGACATACTTGTTTTTTAATTGTAGCTTATTATTATTAATAAATGGGTGTCCTCTTATTAAGCCTATTACAAATATTTAATTTATTTTACAATAATAACCATGACTTGAAATGAAATCTCTAAATTTGTAGATAATTTATTCATGTTAATCACTCTCAAAAACTTATCGTATATAAAGTTACAAAAATAAAAAAAAACATAAAATGAAAATTGTACAAATGTGTCAATGAGGGGATTTACTCCTAATCCCTTTCTATTTTACCATCACTGGTGTTAGATATCTGTAGTATATGAAAAGTATCTGTCTTAATGAAATCGCTAAAAAACTTTAAAAAAGTCTAAACAATACATATGATATTAGAAAATATTTGTGAAACGTTATAGCATGTCAAAATGTTTACAAGGTCGAATCAGTGGCGTGAAAATTAACCTTTGTTTAATGTAAAATATTTGTACCAATTTAGAAACGAATTTGTGTGCAAATTTTTTACGTTCAAAAAAAGAAAAAATATTATAGAGTACTCAGCAATAATGTTAGTATATACTAACTATTCACATGTTTTAGCTCGGCTATCATTTTACTTACCACATTTAAACAATTGTTATTTCTAAAACTCATGAATTATTATTAATTGTCTACAAAATCGGTGATTAGAAAAGTAAACTTTTTTTTAACGTATTCTGTAATTTAGCACCTAACATAGTTAAAGATTTTTCTAAGAGCACGTCCCTACGGTGTACATATTTTAATAACTACGAGATTTTCATGAGCATAAAAAAAATGTATATGAGGTCGATCTTAAAGGAAGATATATCGTTGTGTGCCTACAAAATTACCAATTAATATATTGGCTATTTGTAGTATCGGTGAAGATATATTTTAAAGACCAATAAAAAAAAAATCATAATTACTAAAAACTTAGTTAGTAATAACAATTTTAACTTCGTTTTCCCTTTTGGAAAAATCTTAAGTACGCCACTACCCAAAGTAGTAATAAAGCGCAAAAATAATTCTTTGGTACATTGAAAATTGTTTAAATTCAAATTTTTTTTTTTTTTTTGGTCCTGACGAACAGAAATTCATGGACACCCAGTTACAAATTTTCGCTCAAAGGTGTGACATGTTTTGATTATTTATAATATAAAAACTCGAACAGACTATGGCAATGTGCCCACCGTCTCATAAAAATCGGCTCATAAACCATAAACACTTTTTTAGTCGTTCAACAAACACGTGCTAAGTCGCTTCGAACACGCCACCGACGTTGACATGCGCGCTGCTCTCGAAAGCTCCCCGTATTATCAGACGGACGATAAGACGACGCGCACCGATAACCAACTCTGTCTGAACCGGTTTCTCTACACCACACACAGTAGTGAGTTACCAGCGCTCACCAAGTGTGCGCCGTTTGACCGTCGTCAATGCGATCACGTGCGGAACAGTTCAATTGTTTAATCGATTGTTTATTACTAATAATAACTTTTACTATTTTAATATTGTTTACATTTTAATTTAACAATATCGTTTGATAAATGGACTTTTGAGCTGTCGTCTTGTCGTCGAACTTTGGGTAATAAACACTTGTGTTAAGTTTTATGAGTTAAGTGTTATTTTATGTGCTGCTTTAAAACAAGACTGTCGACATTAACAACATTATTTGTATGGATAACAGGCCTGAAACAAACAAAGACGATTGAAACTAAATTGTATTTTTAGAAAAGTCAAACCATTCGTTGCCAAAAAGTGTTTAAATAAAGTAGTTCTAACAATAAAATGTAAATGAGACTTACTTGAGATTTACTAGAAAATATGTTGTTGTTTTATAACATCTTATTCTTCTATTATTTTGTCTTGTTATTCTATTTAAGGTCGAAATGTTGAAATAATTTTTATTATAGTAAGTAAACTTTTGTGGTAAAAGCCTGTTAGTTTTAATAGAAATCAAAATCCTTAAATCTTTCTTTAAAGTGGCTTTTAATTCACTACTAGATAACGTCTAATAACTAAAAGAACATTTTGTGCGACAGTACAATATTTAAATGTATATATATAATATAGTACGTTAATCCTATTTACTGATTATTTTGTTACTTTATTATAGTACTCAACATACATAAAAAAAAACAAACGCTTATCATCGTCACAATGAATTTTTATTACCTTGGTATTTTATTGTAAATTAATTGGACTTATTGAAATATATATTTATGATAATGAATAGTTATCTTACATACGTGTAGTTAAATTTCTTTTTCTAATATTCTACTAAAAAAATAAGTGATTCCTTGTGAGAATTACTAAAATCAAATTTATATATTAATAAACCGCTTGTTTTACAATGATACAATAGACATAGTTTTACTCGATAAAAAATATGTTTGTTATACAATCTAAATAAATCTGTTAAAAGCATTAAACTTCTAAATAACCATCAATTATACGATTGTAAAAACTTTATTTCTTGAAATTCAAAAAATAATTTTCTCACCGTTGCTCGAAGCAAATTCTTAGAAAATCATAATTTATTTTTAACTATAATAAATAATAAAATATCACAGTGGACAAAAAACATTTGCTTTTGTAATACGACGATTTATTTAATAACGTATTCATTTTTTTTATAATTTATTGTTAAAAAATATTATTTTGACATAATTTTAATTATTAAAATATTTTATTAATTTCTTTTTATCTTACGCCTACATGAATACGGTTTTAACGCGAAAAGTAGTAATTTTTCTTCTAAAATTGCAAGAAATTAATGTGTTTTTTTACATCAACAAAAAATTATAAAAGAGCACTGCAAATTAAATTTGAATTTACTTAGTTTCATTTTGCCAATTTAATAGTCTCTCAATTGGGAATCTAAAACTGTTATAACTTAAATATAGTTCGATATTATTACTATTTATATTACTTATATGTAAAACAATTATGAAAAAATTTGTTGATGAAAAGATATTATAAACATACTTATAAACTAAATAATAGTTAAGCAATATTCTTGTTGAATTATTTTTGCTGAACAGCCTATGAATTGTATATAGTTAAATTGAAGTTCCTCATATACATTTTTATTTATTATTTCTATTAGAGTATATTAAAAGCTTTTTTCCGTTGTGTTAAGATATTAATATTATTTGTTATGTAAATTATTAAATGTCGTCCCACGTTGTTTTGTAAAGTATTATCATTCGTTAATTTTTATTATAAAAAAAAATATTAGGAAATTAACATTTTTTAAAACATGTGTATGAAATTATACATATACATATATATTTATAAATGTTGACATTGTTTATATTCCAATAATATAAGGCAATTGATAATTTTTAAATTCTTTCTTGCATTCCTTGCTATGCATTCTTACAATTGAATAACATCACTGGATCATACATAATAAATATAAGTGAATAATACTTAAATATGATGATATTATTTTTAAGATATGTTAATGTTAAAAAACGATTATCTATCCAGGTAATTTTCTTAAAAGTCACACATTTTTCTTAAAAAAAAAAAGTACTATACGACGCTATAATAAAAAATTTCGAGAATCTATTCGTATTAGTTTTTGTAGTATTTAATGAAAATTCATTTGGGATTTATATTAGCTTAAATTATTTTTAGATTAACTTAGAAAATTTAAACAATAATAACTACGGATAAAATAATATGTCAGTAGCCTACAAACTAGCAAAAATGATGAAACCATTTTATTCATTAAGGAAGGAAGGGATGTTTATAATTATTTTGTAAAATACCAAAGAGAAGACTTGCTTTGGTAATTACTGAGGACCCCTGGGACTCCAAGTTCGACCTTGATCATACTTAACATAAAGTGATTTTAATTTTAATTTTAATTGTGCTAGTTTTGTGCGTAAGACTAGAGAACAATATCAACATAATACTATGCTTATAATAAAAAATAACAGACGATAAAAACTTCAAAGCATAGCAACAGGTAGCATCACGTGTTTTTTTGCTAGCCAATAGCCTTCCGTTTCGTTGATATTTTTAGTAGTGCCGCTCAATGTATCAATGTACTGGTTTGTGATAGTTTACACTTCTCAACGGCGCCCATAGCATAATGTAATAATATTCTTCTTGAGTACATTTTTTTCACTTCATTCAATATGAATTATTTTTTTCTAGATCAGCTAAAAAAAATGTATACACTTTTTTAACTGAATTTAGTATAACAATTGTTTATTTTTTATATTAAATTAAAATAATTTTTCTTTCATTTTAAGGATTAAATATTTGTTTGTCCCTCATACGATTTTTTTTCCATTCATATAATAACGATAAAATTTTAATGAATGCTTTCGTCGCGTACGTGTCAATGAAGAAGTTTCCCTCCCCGTCCTTGAGTGGGGAGGTAAGAGAGTGTTGTGAGTTAATATTTGTGAGTGCAATATTTATGAGTAGTCTGTTACAATCGATACATAAATTACTTTATTTATAACTACACCTCAGAAAAATTCAAGAGTGTTTTGTCCCCTCTAACACTTTTTTTCGGGCTTCTTTAGTGTAACGTGTCACTTAAAAAATTTAGTGTGGTAAAAAAAATGAAAGATATAAATTTTAGAATTATTTTTTTCAGAATTTACAAATTGAAAGAATAAAAAAAATGATATTAAAATAACCAAGGAGTCCTACAACCAGCAAAAATGTCACCAAACACTGATTTTACAGCCGCCAGTCAACTTCAAATGCCCCCGCCCCTACAACCTTTAGTAATTACAGAATGCAAACTTTATAGAAGAAGATGGACAACGTTGGCACTGTTCGTGTTGTGTTCCATGTGTAATGCGGCTCAATGGATACAATACAGTATCATAACGAATGTTATAACTAAATTTTACACTGTGGATTCATTTGCAGTGGACTTTACGTCTTTAGTATTCATGATTTCATACATTCCACTTATATTCCCAGCATCGTGGCTTCTTGATAAAATGGTAATGGCTAAAGTTTTATTAAAATAATTACTGCTTCACTGTTAAACTCATAGGCCCGTGCACAGGACAACAAAAGGTACTTAATTGTTCCTATCCGGTGTGGCTCGAATAAACTAGACAGGTTAGAACAAATATAGGCTACCTAATAATAAGTTGGCTAATTGGATTATCTTTAAGAGTTGATTAATTATGGTTATAGGACCCTTGATACCTTTCATAATATATTTGGATGATTAAGAAGGGTTGTCTTCATTTCCGCTAAAAAAAATTGCGCTTAAAAGCTTTTAAAATATTAATGAACTTGCAAGAATAACCTGAGTTGTATTGTTATTTCCGTGGGTTCCTATCGATCCCCTGTGATTTTATTATTGAGCTTACATTTATAACAAGATACTTTTTTCTTGTTTACATTTTATTAACTATATAAAACAAAAAAATATATTAACACTATTTATTTCAGGGCCTTCGATTTGCTATGGTTGTTGGTGCCTTAGGTACGGCTATTGGAGCATGGATAAAAGTTCCATCCGCAGATCAAAATAGGTTCTATTTAACAATGATTGGACAGTTAGTAGTAGCTAGTTCACAGGTTTTCATCTTAAACTTGCCTCCCCGATTGTCGGCTGTCTGGTTTGGGCCTAAAGAAGTATCCACCGCATGTTCTATAGGTGTATTTGGAAATCAGGTACTGCAATTTGAAATTTATATAATACAGTTCATGATTTCAATACGATATAATTCAGTTTTCTGAATGTCTATTAAAAGACAATGAATTTTTAGTAAATCTCAACTTTGTCCAATTTCTTAACCAGTGAATTTGGCAACTATAAATAGACATAAAAATTTGATATAATATTTATTTATTTATAAAATTAAAAGGCATAGCCTTTTTTTTCAAATTTTGGTTGTTTGACAATTTCTTAAAATATAATATAATTCACAGTAATTCATTTAAAATATTAGGACAAAATAATATGATACACAAATATACAAAATTATTAAAATTTTTAGCTACTCAAAATATGGTATAACAGTAAGGTCAATAAGATAGCACATGAGGGTCAATATTGGCACTCTTCAAAATTCGTCTAAAACAACTTATTTCGTAAATAATTAGTAGAACTAATTAGAATAAAAAATCGAAAATAGGATCGTGAATCTATGTGGAACTTAATAATTAATTAATGATAGGTTGAGTCAATTTTACCATCCAGCAAACCATTTAAAAATTTTAAGACTACATCAATTCTACAATCCTCCAGCAATGTTAAATTGAGTTTGTTTGCAACGGAATTATAATCATTAAGGGCATAGTGAATACCCAATATAACTCCAGCATACCGTAAAAATATCCGTTGGATTCTTTCATTTTGACAGGCATTAAATGAAGAATGAGGACCCCAAACAATATATTATATATGATATCCCAATCATTCGTTAAATAATGATATATTTATATAATATAAATTACATCATACATAATACATACAACGTTAAAACCTAAATGATTTTTTGTGAATTTTTTCTCCATAAAAATATTAAAAGTCCGCCTCTACCATTTTATAATTAACTGATCTAATATGTTTAATTAAAACCTCTAACTACTTTGAGGAACTGATGATGATCTCTAGTGCGAAAAAATGCCTATATATTTTTAGTCTTGTAGTAATTTTATAGAAAAAATAGTTGCATACCAGTCAATTGAAAAAAATACAATGTCAGTTTAGAAATTTAATTCCTGGAAAGTGATTTTTAAAATGGTTGACCTTTTTTAGTCTTTAACATTTGTTATATGCAATATGCATGTATGTATATGGAATGGGACAAACATAACGTTAAAATTTTAAAATAAAAATCATTAGAAACTAAATTACATCAAACCACGCTTGGTTAAAAAATTCAGAAGATTCTAAACTTTTATTATTAAACTAGGACAGTTTATTTCAATTTTTATTAAACATGTGAACAACGCGCATTTTGTAAAAATTTAATATTTCAAATATAAAACTCCCAATAAAGAAACTAATCGAAAAATTAATAATGTCTAACATGCAAAAGTACTTACTTCGTACTTTTTTTAAATGTCAATCATTACATTTTACTTATTGATTAAAAATACTTATACGTGGCACCTAGAGTTAAAGGGATCAATATGACAAGAAATTAATTCTGAGGCAATTTAATAAAATTGAGAAATGTTATCTTTTTAATGCACTTAATTCAATAAATTGATTATAAATAGATTAACAAAAAATTTCTTGTGATTTTTAATCTAACCTCTAAAGTAGTCATTTTACTTTTTAGTTTTCGACTTACTCATTAATTCCAAAATGTCACCTTAACTCTTGTAGCTATGAATACCTCATATATAAATTTGAAAGCATTGGAAAATTAAAACGATACTTTAAAAAAACCATATGGAATAACATTATTTTACGGCTGGTTTATAAATATTTTTCAGCTTGGTATTGCTTTAGGTTTTTTGTTACCACCATTAATAGTGCCAAATAGTGATGATATGGACTCAATAGCTTCAAATTTGTCTATAATGTTTTATGGTACTGCCATAATCTCAACAGTCATATCTATACTAATTTTCTATTGTAAGTCAAAATTACTACAGTTATTATAAAATAATTCTTAATTGTTTTTTAAATCATAATTTTTGCTTGTTGGGTCCATTTAATTGCCTTGTGAAGTTGTTAAAGCGGCTCCACCATTACCTCCAAGTATGGCTCAAGCTGTACAAAAATCATCTAATTCTAATGATCCAAAAAGCTTCATCAAATCACTTTGGAGATTGATTGCCAACTATGGGTTCATATTACTATTGATCTCTTACGGCATTAATGTTGGTTCATTCTACGCCATTTCTACGTTGTTAAACCAATTTATATTGGTTTATTTTCCAGTAATTATTTTAAAATGATATTATTAAAACATCTTTTATTTTAAAAATTCAATATTAGTGATATCTAAAATTTTAATATTAATAAATAAAATACTGTGTAGGACAGTGGAGAAGACGCAGGCAGGATTGGTTTGTCAATAGTTCTAGCTGGAATGCTTGGATCAGTGGCTTGTGGCTGCGTTTTGGATAAAACACATTTATTCAAGTAAACATAAAAAAATATTTATTTAGGAACAATACATGTTTGCTATAAAAATTATTTCAAACAATAATTGTTTTAACTTTGCTTTATATTTAAATTGTCTTAATTATTTTTTGTTAATGAGCTGATAATAAAATTACATATAATATAAAGTTTTTTTTTATTTGTGTTATAGAGAAACTACACTTGTTGTTTATGCATTTTCTTTACTTGGCATGATAGTATATACATTTACATTGTCATGTGGTTATTTATTTGTAGTGTACCTGTCAGCAATTTTACTTGGGTTAGAATCTCATTTTTTTTATTCCAAAAACTTAAATTTAAACGCCCTAATTAAACTTTATGTTTTAAAGGTTCTTTATGACTGGTTACTTAGCAGTAGGATATGAATTAGCTGCTGAGTTAACATATCCTGAAGCAGAAGGTACCTCTAGTGGTATGTTAAATGCTGTAGTACAAGTATTTGGTATAGTATTCACACTGATATATGGCTGGATTTTCAAACTAGCTGGGGACATAGCAGGAAATTTATTTTTGGTTGTAGCTCTTGTTATAGGTACTTTATTCACTGCTTTAATTCCATCAGATTTACGACGACAGGCAGCTCAACAAAAGAAATCATTGGTAAACTAGTTTGATCAATGAACATTGTTGAACAATTACATTTTAATTATCAGTTAATTAATTTTTATTTTATTGTGATAAATATGAATTATATAATTTAACTAGCACCACCCTAGAGATTATATATGTTAAATTTATTATTATTTATTATCATTATACAAATTATTTACACATTGCACTTTGAGGATCTGAAAATAATATATTACTTCCATATTTTCATAGAAAATAATGAATATTCTAACTAAATTAGGTAAATGATGATATTGATATTTTTACATTATTCAAAAAATAATAATGATTTTTTTACAATTTTATGTGTTTTTATTTAAAAAATTTCCTAATCCATAACTATGTGTATTAACATGTATTATTTATTGAGTTTTCTCTGTGCTCTCAAGTTCATAGAACAAAGTTGACAGAAAATATCTGCTAAGGGAAAAAAATGGTTTCGATAATATTTTTTAAATTTTTATTATTTTAATTTAACTAGATAATCAATGAATATACATTAAATACATTAAAACTATAGAGATTTTTTAAGAACAACCCATACATTTTTATTTTTCCGATTTCAATATAAAAATTATTTTAAAAAAAGTACTAGGTGAGTAAAATAGTCAAGATTATTAATAATAAATAAAATTAAAAAAAATTAATTTTATATAATTATATAAATAAAATGACAAAAAATTCAATAAGTTAATTTAGGAAATACTGAATAACAATAATTTTATTGTATGGTAAGATAAGATTAATTTACAATGCCATCATAAGTTTAATTTTTCTAATAAAAAGTTCAGGGACAATGCATTTAAATTAAGAAAAAATGTTTGTATCTTAATTTTTTTTATTTATTCTGCAAACAAAGTTTTTTCAAACTTATACATGGACATTTTGTACAAAACAAATTAAAATTTATATTATTATAAGTGTAAAACAAAGTAATATATATGGTTTAACATGTAAAATTAAATTCTAATATTTTATAGGAAGTACTAAAATTATCATTTATATTTTTCCATACAAATACCGTATAATAAAAAGTTAATTCTTCTATAAACATTCAATATAAATGAAAATCATTTCAATGTACTAAAACTTAAAGATCAAACTAATTTATTTTTAAGTATTATTGTTTATAGTAAATTTGTTTCTTTAGGAATTTTTAAAATAATTTAAAAACTACACACTGATAATTGTAAAAAACTTATTCTTAAGGTCATAAAAAATATTAATTCAAATTTGTTTAATTTTTATAGAAAATAATTCTATTCATAACTTTAATTTTAAAATTGTTTAATATAAAAACTGTTTACATTGGATAAATTTTTTATAATTTATTAATGTCATTTTTTCTGATATTAATAATTTTAAACCAAAATGCATATTTATTTACATTAAATTTAAAATAAACTAATTATGATATTGGTTTTATCTTAAAATGTAATGATATTAAGGAAAAAACAAAACATTTTAGATCTTGAACAAGATAATAAAATGTTCTTAGTCCTTCTGGATCCTTTGACGTATTCACATCTAATAAAGAACCAGTTTTAGATGTAGTAAATGAAATGTGTTCATCATCAATCACAATTTCCAATTCTTGTCTGCCTACTCGATCTGGAGGTGGCCATAAAGCATCATCTTCATGCATTATTTCAGAGTCTGATACAATACGCTTAAGTTCTTCAATAACAGGTTGATGAACAAAAACTTCCTTACGGATCATGGTATCATTTTTATAATTTGAGTTATTAGCATAACGAAGTTTTCCATCAGGTCGGAATTCAAATTCTAAAAATTCATGACCAAATTTTCCTACAAAGAAAAAATGAAATTTTAAATGTTTTAAAAACATAATTTATCTTAAAAAATATATTACTAATAAAAAAAGTAAACAATCACTAAAAATGAATTATCAGATGAAAAGAAAAAACAGTTTTGTAAAAGATACTTTTTCAAATACTCAATTAAAATTTTTTTTGTTATCAAAATAACACTAACACAAAAAATAAAGTGGTCTATAATTTTGACAAGAACCAGATATCCCTATGTATTTCAATACACTAAATCTGAATTTGAAGTCATTTTCATTCATACATCCTAGAGAATTTTTGAGAAAATTACAGTAATCTATAAAGAAGTAAAAAAAATATGTAAATTTATAATACCAATCTAGTTTATTTTAATATACTGAATCTATATTTTAAGTATTTTTAAGATTATATACCCTCAAAATTTTGAGAAAATGGAAAAAATTTGCAAAAAGATCTCAAAAAGGGTTTCTAGAATTGCCAGTGCCTATCATGATGGCAGAAACAACAAATTAATGATTTCATTGACCCAAAGAGTCAGATCGATCTGTTACTCGTTATTAGAAAGAGTTTAGTATTTCAAATACTAAACTGACTTCATGCAACACCTATAACCGAGTCATGAACTCTTAACAGTGAGCATGTTTCAGATTTAACAACGCTGTTCCTTTTATGAAATGATTTTTATCAATTATAATTAATTGTATAAATTGTTTTTTTTACTTAATTATCATTTCCTCAAAATTTTGAGGGTGTATAAACTAAGAAATTTTTATATTAAAATTCAGCATATTGAAATACATAGATGTTTTTGTCAAAAGAGTACAGTTCCCTTTTATTGGGGTATGCCTATAAAACCTTTTTAATCCTTATGATATTAAATATTATAATTAAACTAAAGTATTCACCAAAGTTGTTTTGATAAACATAAATTTTCAATATTTTAATTATGTTCGTGAGATATTGATATCTTAAGAAAAAATATTCCAATTAAAAACTAAATATTTTGCTTAAAAAATTAATATTACCACCAAAAAAATTAATATTTAAAGATATTATGCCCTTTATATACTGACTAGACATAGTAAAACATTTAGGTAAATAATTGATTAGGCAATTTTTAAATTATAAGAATTAGATGTATTGTTTACAAAAAATTATTCTTTACATGACTGACACAGTATATAGTTGGAGTTTTTGATTATAACATTATTTTCATAAATATCATTGGTATATAGATATATTTGATAATTTCTAGATACATTAGATTAAATAATAATCATAATTAAGGGTCAGAACTATAAGCAATTATTAATTTAGTTTAAGACCATTATATCTAAAGGATTCCAAGTTTGTACAACTTTTGTTGTAGGATTGTATAGTAGCATAGAAATCATTTTCACTTTAGGGCAGATAAACCCTACTAATCCACAAAAAATCAAACATTTAGTATACCTGTAAAATACTATAGTGAAATAAGTAATAACGAATAAGTAATAAGCAACAATAATTACTCATTTGTATAAATGAGTTAATTTCTTAAACATGATAACTTATTGTATTTTTAATTATCTATACTTTGTATAGCATTATTCTAAGAAAATGACACATTTATTTTATTTACATATTTCATTTATCTGAACATATGCTAAAAAATATTTCCTATTTTATCTTAACAGCAGTATTTTAAATCCAGTTATTTCTGTATGAAAATAAAGACAAATTATCATAATAAAACATTTTCTATAATATTTTAATTGGTTTAACATTTTACATCTATTTTTATTAGTAAACCATTATGAATATGATTTTATTATTTTGTTTAATAATATAACAGAAAAATCTTACTGATACTTTAACATTTAATGTTTTACAGGTATATCGTTTTTGTCATTGTAAAATATTATAAAAACATTTTCAAACCTCATAAGATGCTAAGGTATATGATAAATAAATACACAAAAGCTATACATTTGTAACAATATATCCTGAATCAAAATCTGAATTACTACATAGTAACATATTTTTGTATTATTATATTTTCTAAGTAACTTCCAAAATGACAAATGAGGGATACAAAAAATGGATAATTTGGACTGTACATTACAATAAGAATAAAGTCACTCCAGGTTTTACTATGTAATCAAGTTAGAATTTCTAATTATTTATTTGGTACAATTAAATCATACTAATATACAATATTGAAACAGATTTTTATTTTTATTTTTAATAAAAAAGGATGATCTTGTTAATTATTCATTATACTGATAAAAATTACCGATTAATATGATGTTATATCGAAAAGGATAAGTAAATAAAATAAAATAAATGTATATATTTTAATAAATTAAAAATAGTACATTTAATTAAACACAACATATATATTTATTGAGATATAAAGTATACCTTTATGACCAATGTAATAACGCAGATAAAATTCACCAGACATACTTATTTTGTTGTGAAAAATTAATTAAAAAATTGAATACTCAAGAAATTTTAAACGAAAATATTACAATTTAAGCATTATAATAACATAAATAATGTTAAAAATAATAAGAGATAATGCTATATGAGGCGGCTAGTGATTAACCCGACCCAATCGAAAATTATAGTGATAATAACAGTGTATACAGCAGTAGAAAAAGTTTTTTATTTATTTTTAATCGTTGGCATACTACTGTATCCTACTAGATCAATACTCTATTCACTTCTTCCATGACAGTGGCAAACTTCTATCGGTTTCGCCAAGAACGCATGCTCGACGAGCTCTACCGCGACGCCATCTTATGGCCAATCTGCATTTATTTGTGTTGGGTCGTACGTACGTGACGGAATCGGCTAGCGTGATGGTGGCGGAAGTGTTTGGAAAGTAGCGGAGTAGTTAATTATTTTTTGTAAAATATATTTCCCGTGTTTATTTTTTGGTTATTAGCTAAATTTTTATAGTAAAACAACCGCCACCAAATGCCGTGTTCGCCGTGTTAGTGTTAGTGTTAAATTTAGTGGCCACCGTGTGCTGTGTTCGTCGTTGCCGCGCTAAGTGCCCGTAAATCGTCATCGTTGCCTGTTTGAAATGGAATTGCGTTTACATAGTCCTGTTGGAGCTGAGCCTGTAGTATACAAATGGCCAATGATAATTGGGAGAGGATCGGTAAGTTTAAATAAAAATAAACTATCAAAATATTAGAGAGACTTGGCATTTTTTATGATATGTTTTAATATCAATGCGATGTCGTATCACTAATAATATATTTAGTTTATTTATATTACAGTCGGCACATTGCACAATAGTTTTTCCTGATAACTTGCGCCGATCTCTCATGTCTGCCCTATAGAGGCATATATTTTTGTTGCTATATTTAAACGTACTCGCGTTGTAAATATCACTATATATGCACTCTCAATTATACAATGTTGTTTTAAAGAAACTATTTGATATCTCAATGACGGTTCAACGAACTCTACCCAACAAAAAGAATTTAGATTTAGTGATATTACTAATTTTTTTCATAATTTAGTATAATTTTATGTATAAATTATTTATTAAGCATATCATTTACGTGCAGTTTGATTTATCGTTACAATCAAAAAAATTTAATTGTAGCTCATATGATTGTGAACTACTACTGATTATAGTAGTAGTTCACAAATGATTATATTATACTTAAAATTGTACCTAAAAATAACTTTTTAGCAGCTAATTTTTTTTTGTTTCCTTTAAATATTTAAATATAAAATTAATTTTTAGTTATCTACTTTTGGATTGAGAAGCACATTAATTAACAAATTGTTATAATTTATACAAATGTATGTAATATTGACTTATTATGATTTCGCAGTAAACAATTTTCGTTTAATAAAATATTATAATAACAATCATATATATCATAAAATACAATTACTGTGTTTTTATTATAATTTAATTTATGTTTTAGGACAAGCATGATGGTGCCTTGGGAATAATTGATACAATTAAGTAAGTTATTAGATTTGAATTTCAACTACGTAGTCCTTATTTTAACATTCAAATATATAATTGACTAGTAAACATGTTACATCTTAAATAACGAAATTTGACACTGAAAGTTTGCCATCTTAACTAACGTCACATTTCAAATAACTGAAAACTAATAATAGTAGTATAGTAACATTGGAATTTTATAAATACGCCAATGCTCTTTGTGCTAAAAAAATTATGCCTCCACCTGTTCATTGTGTTATAGTTTTGCGAAACAGATGTTTTATTATAACAGTTAGTCTCTTCTACAGTAAAATACTTATTTAAGAAAAATATATTTTGCTAAATTTGGTTGATGTTATTTTTGTAGAGCAAATAAACAAGATCTCGCAGTTTAATTACTGCTTGTTATTATGTACTTTAGAATTATCTATTATTTTTTATCATTACTTATCAAAAAGTAAACTGTTTTGCGCGCCATTATTTTCTAATCGGTGTCATTCATTCAATATACAGCCACAATACCGAACAACAGAAGCATTATCGTAACATAAAATAAACAAAAACGAATTTCGCATTCCCTAACTTTTCCACGCCGTTTCATGATCGTTGATAGTCGATTTAATGAATGAGAATTTCTATATACGATTCCCTATGCCGATTACTCTGTAAGCCTATAACAACATGGGTCTATTTTTGCTCAGGTATCCATCATTACCAATTTACACGGTAGACGCGGGCCAACAGTTTAGGAGGCCACGAACCGGTTGTATCATCGGTTAACGAACTCTGTTGCCGCTGCCTTGCTTATCGTTGCTCATTATCTACTCGATTGAATGTCTTGCGGTCACATCCACGAGTTTTCTCTCTTTATATCTTCCGCACAGTTCTTCACTATTATTCTATTCACGATTTCGGCATTGTGTATTATTTCTCTGGCTGGTTACTCTTGAAGTTTTCTTTCGTGTCCGTTTCCCTTCTACCGCTCTGTCGAAAGTTTTGCAGGCCACGTGGTGGCGCGGAAGTTACATGATGCGTCTTCATACCGCCACACGTCATTGTAAACAAGACATGTGTGCTCGTCCTATAAAACGTATTTTATTTTTGGGGTAAAAATCTGCTACCTCCCGCAGATGCCTGCGTAGTCTTAAATATGCTGTCGCAGTCTCTGTGTGTATATTTTTTCCGGAGACCCCTCTCTTTTTTTTTTAATGTTACCGCCACAGTTGTCGACTGGTCGACGACGGTATAGGAGAGCGATGACCGTCCACGCTTGAGGCCAATAACACGGCTGGCATCTTCAAGGACGCGCTCTAGCGTACTGTTTGGCGGTTTCCACCGCAGCGACCCGGTTCGTGAATAAGAATTATTGGAAAATAACATAAGATTCTTCCATTGTCTGATCCTCCGAGAGTAAATAGTATTAAGACCGGAATAAAACTAGAACCCCTCAAACACACCGGGTGACGGTATTCGCCTTGTGACCGGTTTTTATCGTTTTGACGGTTATTACATCTACCAAAACGTAATCCAAATATTTTATATCCTCTTTTTTTTTTTTAAATTAAAGAATTCATGATGAAATTTTATGTATTATAACACAAGAGTTTGTATGTTATGATTTTTTTTTTTGCATTTATTTAAAAGTTCAATATACATTTAAATTCATTTTCGCTAAATTGAATTTAACATAAATATGCATTGATACGGAATTGCACTTCGAAACTTGTTTATTGATTATTTCTGCTGTTATTTAAAAATGTTTTCCTATAACCGCAATAATTACAATAAATCATTTTATAATCGTGGCGTCGTATTACTTAAATTGTTGGTGTAAATTTCCTTTAAGTAGCTTATGTTCACAAATATTTTAAGGTCACGTTTTGAACAATTCAACATTAATTTTGTTACTTTTGTTAACTTTTTACTTTTTAATGTGATTTTGTAAACTTAAGTTTAGAGTTTTTATTTTTAATTTTTTATTTATTCACTGATGAAAAATCATAAACCATAATAACTAAAATTCATATGTGTCAGATCATTTTAATTGAATCACATTTAAAAATATTTTGATTTTGCTTTGGTGACGTTTTTTTTTTTTTTTTCTAATGAAGAATATATCATAAAAAATGTCCATTTTCTTTACTAAACGGATAATATTGAACATTGATGTAAATTAGGAAGTTGCTAGTCATTTTTTTTTCCGCTTTGATTTTTCATTAATGACCTCTACAAAAAGTAAAAGTAATCTATGACATGCCTAACATGGAAATTTTCATCATGTATAAATAAAAACAAAACAAATGTTGAGTATTGTGACAATTTTTAATCGCTATACGATACTGTTATTGTTCGGGTATTCTTCTGTGGTATGGTGAGAAATTTGCACAATAGGGCCATAAAACTTAAATTGTTAAAATACTCATTTTTAATTTGATCCAGCGTTTATTTTAATTGTTGAATAATTATTTTTCACCGTGCTGAAAACTCAGTTTTATAATTTTTAGTGGTACGTGTATAATATTATAGTTCTTTGTTACTTGTCATAATAATTGTTCTATGTGTACAAATATCTTGTGTCAGCGATTTTCATTTCTATAGGAAAAAATTTATTGCGAACGTGTTGTAAAATTCTTAATGGCTTACTTCATATTAATATTCTGTTCCTAGGCACATGTTTTGCATGTAAAGCTTATGACTATAAATACATATTAACCTGACACCTATGATCACTCGCAACACTTAAGACGTTGCAACGTTTCTGTGTCACATTGTTATATTCAAAGCGATAAAATTCTTAAAACGGGCGTTTTATGATTAGAGATGGTCAGGTTAGAGACATCGTTGCTGTTGGAAATGTTACTCAATCGACCGACTAGTTGGACTAGTAGCTAACAATAATTATTATTACTAACGCTTCGCGCCGACAATTACAACGTAGTTTCTATTGACTGGCATTGTTGTAATATTATTTACCGTTGTGGTTTTCACCCAGCCCGTATGACTATACATTGTGTCATACTTCGTGTTAGTATTGTGTCCACGATTTTTTTTTTTTTTTGGCGTTTCCTTTTTCTTACAACTTGTGCATTATCTCATTCCGACAAATAGAATTGGCATGCGAACGTCTTGGTATATTTGTTACTAATGTAAAAAAATGTAATAATAATTTAACTTGCCAATCGTTCTTTAATCGGGTTAGGTTAATTGTTGGGTGTCGCCTAAAATGTATTTTTCGAATTTTAACCTAACAAGAATTTTCAGTCGGCGAGCGTTTCCTTATTGCAATCATGTGTTGTTATTTGACTTTTGCTAGTGAAAAAATGAGTAAGAATATTCCGTAAAAACTTTTCTATTGCGCATAATGAAACCGTTATTCAGAACAACCGGCAGTGTCAACAACTCATTTTACTTAATGATATACATGTATACATCTTAACGTGTACGTTTTCCTACTACGATTTCTACTAGCAAGGAGAGAGGAGGTGGTACATCTTCTTGCTGTCGTAGCGTACAAGTGGCACCTGTATGCAGCGACCGAAGCATGGTCACGTGCAGACCACGGTGAGTGCATGAGAGAGAGAGAGTGATGACCAACTAAAACCGGTTTGCAGCGTGTGTTTGATTGCATAACGGTTTATGTTGGTAACAACAACGTGGACGTCGTGAGTTGTACTACCGGATGGCCTGGACTGAACCCGCGGTGTAAGATGCGGAGGCGTCCGAGTTTTGTTTTAGCCGCGCGTAGGGAGGAAACACCGCGAGTGAAACCGTTTGTGTTGTGCGCCCGAGAGAAAGGAAATCACGAGGTCACGCGCCGAGCTTACGGAGGATAAGCGTTGCCGCCGCCGCCGCCGTCCCCGTTCTCATTCACATTATCGATCCACTGTGCCCGCGGAAGTATGTATAGACTTTGGTGTGCTGCTGGTGTTTGTAGGCGGTCGCCAACCCCGGACAAGCGTCGTGTGGCTATACTAGTATGGGTTACGTCACACCACGCCAATATGTGTAGGGAGGTTTGTTTTGTTATTGTTCTCACTACGCATAGGGTATTTTTTATCGTCCTAGAAAAGCCTTGGTTGGGCGCAATTGCCACACGACTACGTTACCCTTCTTTTCTCAATCACTACTCGTTTAAATTCTAGCTTCAGAAATAATGTAATATTTCGGTGCGTCAATTAAAAATAATTCATTTTGAATTTCGTTTTAGCTACCATGCAAAGTTTAACTATCAACTTAACACGAATGAAGTTTTATATAACATCTTTATTAAACATATCTGGTGAAACCCGTTCTTCCGGAAAATCCATAACGTATTAAACCATTAATATCATTACCATTAGTCATTAGTCAAATTATTTGAACATTGCTAATGAATAAGTCTTCGTAAGACTATTTAGATAATTATTTTAAATGCGAATATTGTCAAATTCATTTGAAAATCAAGAGTTTTTAAATTTATTTTTGTTTTAAAGATCATACCTGGTTTATTACAAGTTAGATATGTAAAAGAAATGTGTTTTTTCATAAGGATTATCGTATTTTTATAATTTCCCCACGCATAGTTTTACTATTTAATTTTCTAATATATCCGATTCACCTGAATTTCTCATGCCCACACTGATTATATTTACTCAGAATACACAATTTGACATTAATTAAAGTGTCTTTCGCTTTGTGACGGACAATTGGTTTCAGCTTCTGCTGCTGGTGTTCAAGTGTACATTATACACTAGCTTTTTTTTTTTACATCAATATAAAAATTATTAGCTTTATATAAAATAGAGATTTTTGTTCTAGCAATTTTTTTTTTATTATAAACCCCTAATATACGGACACCCGAGCCTAATAGCATTAAAATCAAGATTGCAAAAAAAAATAATTTTTTTTTTTTAGCGTCAAAAATTTTATATTATAAACGTGTTTAAAACTAGTTTTAAACATACAATTTTAATTTTTTTCCTTCATTATATGTTAAATAACAGTATATTAGAATAAAATAATATTAAATAAACCATAAAAATTTAAGATTTATAATACGGGCCACTCGTACATCTCTTGAATATAATCGACTTAATGATTAACAGAGGGGAGCTCGGCATTTAAAATCTTCATTATCTTAAAAGTTATATTTGTCTGTATATTTAGTTATTGTTATATATATATATATATATATATTTATTTATTTATAGCAATCATGCGTGTATTGTAATCGAAGGCAGTCCTGCCAATTTTTTGGGAAGGGGGGTGTATTTAATGAATTTCGCCTAAACAGAATTTTAAATTCTAAGTAAGCACTTTTACAATAAAGGGCTTTTTTCTTCTGGTTGTCAAAATTTTTTAATAGGAGAAAAACAATAAAAAAAAAAAAGGTTTTTTTATTCTTGGCTAGTTAGGAAAAAATAAATTTTTTAACTAATATTGGAACGTAAATTTGACTAAGTTGAGTAGACATAATAAGACTTTTTATGTTATGTATATTCCTCTATTTTTCCAAAATATTTTTTACTAATTTATTGTTTTTTCCCATACTTTCAATACATCTTCTCTAGTCATAAATGAACCTTACTCCTTTTTCTTGATCACTAACTATTAGTTTTGTTTGAAAGCTCTATTGATTACAATCGTAGTGCCTTTTATTCTAGTCATCGAGATCCTTCGGGTTCTACTTAAGATAACAACAGACTTTTTTGTTCATAACTCCTATGTCATGTATAAATGGAAAGTCGAATCAAAATGCAATTGATTTTTATTGAGTTAACGACTTTGGTTGGGGGTGACTCACCGCTCACTACACGACAGCATCTGATTGTCATTTAGATTAACCAATTTAATAGAAAATAGAAAATGTAAACAAAAATACAACAAGCAACACAAGTTATCCTAATATTATAAAAATTTAATTAAACTTAAATTTTTGATGTTAAAAGTTTTAACATTTAACTTATAATAAAAGTATCAATGTATTATCGTGATCAAATCACGGTAAAAAAACTTTCCGTTTTACTAATGATATTATTACATAAATATTACTATTATAATATTATTTTTTGTATTTTGTTAATATTTTTGTTCAAACGTTTTATATGTTTGTGATAAAATGTCAAAAGACACGTTTTAAACATTTTGTAATCCTTATTACAATAACCCCAATACCTTAATATTATGTTCGTTAATTTAATCAAGTAGATAATTTTATGATGAATTTTTTCGAATTATCCATCATAGTTCTGCATTATATTGTCTTTAACATGACACAGTTTTATTCTTTTTAATATTATTTCCACAGATATGTTTGTTATTACATCCAGAAACCTAATTGATTAATTAATTGTAGTAGATCTTAATATTATTCATATGATCGGTAAAAAAACTACATCATTATACGAATAGATTTTAACGAAATTTTAATACATTAAAAAAGAACATAATGTACGAGTATTATTATTTTTTTTTAATTATTTATTTTAGAGCTTATTTTAAATATATGAATGTTTCTTTAACTTTTAGCAGTTTCAACTAAAAATCACATCATTTTTACTATGGCCTTAAGACTCGCAAAGACCCTATTGATCATATTTAATAGGATGTGAAAAAGAGGGAAGAGGGTATATTTTTATATAATAATAGAATAGTAGGGAAAAATTAGCATTTTGTTTTCACCCTCGTAATGTTTTACAACTATGCCAGTGTGGTGGCATACATTCCCATCCACCTACACCGACCCCTTTTTATTCAGAAAATTCTTATTAAATAATCTGTGACCTTTTTATTATTTGACGTTAACAGTTTAATTGCTTTGTTATAAGTAATTATCCTTAACATAATAATTATTAAAATGATGATTTGTTTGCCTACCACGCGTTTCCGATTGTACCTATGTGTTAACCTGTTCGCCACGCCTTCCGGGTTTCTGTCGTGTATTTATTATCCAATGTCATATACGGAACACCTGTTGCATGTAAGTTAAAGGAATTTCCCATACCGTAATTTATAATATGTACACTATAGTATTAGCTAACATTGCGATGTTTTGAAACCTATAGAAGCGTATTTACAGTGTGTACTCAACGTCCTTGTGCAATTTTTTATTCGCCATAGATGGCACGCCCAAAGCCCATGCAGAAAATGTACAATTAAATAATCAGACTTTTCATATAAAATTATAATAAATATTAAGATCACATTTTTTAGTTTTAAAAATGAATGTTGTTGAGCTGTGCCAAGTTTACATGTAATAAAATTTGTAAGTTTGTCTCTTCGTGTTTTACTAATAAATAATTAAATTGACCGCTTGCTAATGGATGGCTAGTCTATGTAAAAAAAAAAAAAAAAAAAAAAAAANAAAAAAGAATCATTTACGTTTTCTTCATTGATAATGTGCTGATTAATAAATAAAAAACTATAAATTAAGCTTTTTATAATTTATCTAAATATAGTTGGCTTTTAGAGATGTATTTTTCTATAATAAAATTTGAATGTTGGGATTTTATCGGTTGGTAGTTCTTGTTACTAATAAGTAAAAAAAATGTCTATTGCAGACCTTGGCCTCATTTCACTATATCTGTAAGTGCATTTGAATGCAATCAAGTTCACCGTCTCTATTGCACCATAATATAAACAAAAATAATAAAAATTATGTCAAACACGTAGAACAATGGTGCTGTAATCATATTATTTATTTTTAGTTTTTTTTTTTTGTATTTGATATATCTTTACAATTTAGAAATAGTAAAATAAATCTTTATTTTATCTAGTAACATTTAATTTATATTTTTGTTTCTGCAGATGGGTATGCGACGATTTCCCTGATATGAAAATTCCATTGGAGAATAACATCCTGTGCGACTACGATACAAAATCGTAAGTTACTTAGCCATAATTTATTATTTGATTTTATTGTAGACTAGAACGAATCGATATCCTTACTTTTTTGTCGTTATTACATTTTTAGGTATGAAAGCATGAAGTCCCTGTGTGACAGGTTCAACAAGGCTATCGACAGTATGGTGCAAATGGTAAATATTGTAAAGACTATCGATTATTTTGTTGTATTTAACGTTGAAAGGGTTATATATTATATTATTAGTATTCAAATGGAGGTTGCCTTTTGTTGTTGCGTTAGACATCAACGACCAAAAAAAGGGGATTTGAGATACTGGAAAAAGGCCTACGTGACCTCATCCCCATACAAGCCCCACGACGGGTGTATATTTCGCTTTAGTGATCGTATACTAAACTGGGATTGCTGTGCAACAGCATATAACCTAATGCAATATATTACATATCATTGTTATGATTATTACAACGTTGCCAATATGTGTATCTTATTTTAGTAGTAATATCGAATGATCGACAATTGTTACATATGGTTAAGTTTTCTTTTATTTAGCGTTGAAACAAAGTACATTATTAATTAGCTTTTGAAAGCTTATTCTTTTACGCTAAAATATTTTAAATGAACTTTTCCTGTAAATTATTAATCAAGCGTATATTAACTTAATTAGTAGAGAATCTTATCTATCAAAACATTTAATTATACTACAACTTATAGTTATTATTAAACAATAAACAGCTGCCCCCGTTTCTTCCATCTGCTGTAATATGTATCCCAGCATTTTCCTTTTACAGTATTACGATATTTACAACCTGTATATATGATATATTTTAGTAATGATATCACCTGCCTTTTTTCAAACAGATGTTCTCTGATATTTGAGGCTTTTTTTTTGTCTTATAAATACTTTTAATGAACACTTTCACGCAAAAAAATATATAGTTATTTTAACCTCAAATACGTTTGTAATCATACACAATTACGCGTATATTTTTACAGAGTATAGTATTGATTTTAATTATATTTACGGGGTTAAAATTACACTACTTTATAACGTTAATATGACAAGGAACTTTCTCGTTTTGAGAATATTAGTTGTAATTAAACTTAAATTAAAATTAATCTAAATCTATAAGAATTTAAACCAAGAGACTTTAATTTTTATTATAACTTTTAATAATTCTTATTTTAAAATGTATCAATATTCAACATAATTTATTCAATTCAAAGGTCCGGTGTAATAACGTAAATTCAAAAAGACTCAACTCGATCCGTAAATATTTAACATCATTGATTGTAGTTTAAGCAACTTCAATATTTTTTGTGTAAACCCTAAATTGAAGATGTTTGTGTGTTTTTTCATTCGATATCTATATTGTAAAGGTGGATAATCACTTTTTCAACTATGTATATTCCTCTTCCTTTCAGCTGTTATACAGATTGCTCAAGCTTTAGATTATCAAATAACAAAATAAATACTTTAATCTTTTTTTTTTTTAATTTCAAGATATACGAATGTATACATGCATATTTGTAGTATTTTTACATAGTATACACTGTATACTTTATACAAATAACTTAACAGCGTATTTCACTCAAAACACCTATGACGCCTATTTATATACAATTCATTACATATAATCAAGATCACATTTAAACAATTTGTGTCCCCGGGCATTAATTTTTCAGTAGCCTTCCACCTCAAACAAGTAAACAAATTAAAATAAACATTTTTTTTTTTTTAATTTCATCGCAGTATATTTTCTTAATTAAGAATCAATTTTTCATTTTTTTATTAATTGATATAATTTTTTTTTAGCATGTGATTACTTATCACATTATACACTGATGCATCAAATAGATACCTAACTTAAAATTTTAATGTGTTTAAAAATTAGTTCACAGTAGTGTTTTATATGAACAATTTTTTTTTTTGTAGAATAAAGGAACTTCGTTACAAAAATTTAGTAGGAAGGCATCCAGAGGACTACTTCGTCATATTATACAACAAGTGTACAATGTTTCTGTCAGTGACCCTGATAAATTAAATCAATATGAACCCTTTTCTCCAGAAGTATAAAAATATAAAATAAATAAAATACATTTGATTCTAAGTTTGTAATTTTTTTCATTGTAGGTTTACGGAGAAACATCATATGATCTTATTTGTCAAATGATTGATTTAATTAATATTACAGAGGAAGATATTTTTATTGATCTTGGATCAGGTGTTGGTCAAATAGTTTTACAAATGGCCGCATCAACTCAATGTAAAATTTGCTGGGGTGTTGAAAAAGCTGATGTTCCATCATCCTACTCTGCAGTAATAATCATTAAAATTATTTAATATTTTGTTATTCAATTTGCTTGTTTAATATTAAATGTCTGTATCACAAATAATTTTTGCTCTGCTTTCTTTAGTTTATGCATACAAACTTTCAAAAATGGATGTCTTGGTATGGAAAACAGTATGGCGAGTATAAGCTTATCAAAGGAGATTTCCTAAGTGAAGAACATAGAGAGAAAATAACTAATGCATCTATTGTCTTTGTTAATAATTATGCTTTTGGACCACAAGTTGATCATGCTTTAAAAGAACGTTTTGCTGATCTTAAAGATGGTGCTAGAATAGTTTCATCAAGATCATTCTGTCCACTTAATTTTCGAATGTCTGAGCGAAACCTAAGTGGTAAATTAATTTAATATATCATTTGTGGAATTTTTAATTAAATATTATTACTGTTTTATTTTAATTGATTAGATATTGGAACAATTATGCATGTATCAGCTATGGAACCAATAACTGGATCAGTGTCTTGGACTTGTAACCCTGTGAAGTACTATCTGCATGTTATAGATCGAACAAAGGTAAATACATTTAATAATTAAAGTATGAAGAAAATTATTTTATATAACAAAAAATCATTATTACCATTATTTTTATTTTATTTTTTAAGCATTTTGTGTTATTTTATCAAAACTTTGAATATAAACAAAATAAAATATTAATATATACAGAACTTTCTTTGTGTAGCAAAGATGGTTCTTAATAATTGTTTAAATAACAAAAATTGAAATGCAATATTTTAATCATGATTGTATGATTATTTTATGCTTGTAGATTAAGATTCAATATTTTAAAATAATAATTTACTAGAATTAAACTTCAAATTAATTAATACAATTAACTATTGTGTATTTCGATTTTATTGGTAAATTAAGTTATTTCACAATATCTAACATATTTAAATTTTTTAATTTACTATTATTACATTTCATTTATTTATTTATTCAATCATTCTTGTGATTTTGTAAAGTTTATACTGTAAAAAATAATTTTATTTTGAATTTTTTTAATTGAAATTTCAAACATTTTTTTTTTTTATTATTGTCAACAGCTTGAACGATACTTTACTCAAAATAAGCTTCCTGTTTCAAAGTCAACAAGGGTAATTAGATAGAGAATTATTATCAATAAAATAAATATTGAATTTTTAATATTTATTTTACTTTATTAAAAAACAAAATTGCCTATATGGATAATTGAGTATTGGACATTTAATTTGTTAATTTTTGTGAATATGTTAATAGGTAAATGGAGAAAAACAGAAAACTATTGCTAATAATAATATTAATAGCTCTTCAGATGACACAGATTCAATGTTGAGTAATATGAATGGTGATAGTGTTGATGGTAGTACCACAATAAGTTTAGCATCAGAAAAAACAAAAATCACTAATAACCGAGAATCTTGGTCTGATTTAGGAGGACATAATAGTGAAGGAGATAATGAAAATGTTTCTGGTAGATAATCAATTTATTGTTATTAACGTTTATATATTCTCTCTTTTACTATCTTTTTTTTATTTTAGATAATCATAATAGAGCTAGTAGAAAAGTCATGAAGCGCAATACACCTCGTCGTAGCCGTAGTTTTAAGACTAATACTAATTCATTACATAACCGATCACATTCTGAAGCTACTCCTATTGTGAGGGATGTAGAGAAAAATAATAATACTAAAGGAAAGCGCACTACTTCAAAAGCTCGTAAACAAAAAACAAAACGCAAAGCTCCCAAACGCCATGTTAAAATTTCAGCCTCTTTAAACTTATTGCATAGTGAAACTGTTCTTAGCACTACTCCTGAAGTTTCAATGAGTATAAAAGAACCTCCTAAAGGATGTATTGATCATACATTAACTTCCATTACTGGTGTTGGTGCTGGGTATGCTGCTACTCATACTGAACTGCCTCCACCTGATGGTGATATTCCATATTCTTTACAATTACTCTTGGATGATTATAAACAAGGTTTCATGAATATGATAAATATGTTTAAAACTAAAAAGTTTAAAGAAGATGTTGAAGCACAAATCAAAGTTGAAAAGGTACTTATTGGATTTACAAAGTTATAGGTGTAAATGATTGGTTTATGATAAGTTATAATTGGTGTTAATCCCTTTATCCTTGAATATGTTTACCTTTTACTAAATGTTTTACTCAGTAAATACCTTCTATTATTTTTTTTTTTCTAATATCTTTTCATTTCTTTGCCTTTTACAACTTTAATGTATGTTTTAGAAAATAATTTTAACTATAAATTAAATTTTTTATCATTTTTCTAGGAAAAGAAACAAAACTTAAGCATGAAAATTAATCAAATTAAGAAACAAGTAGATCATTTGATTAAAGATAGTTGTAGTCTTTTGAAAACTCGCATGAAAGAATTAGATATTGTACCGACAAATACTACAGGAGATGTGTTAACAGCAGCTAAAGTTATTGTGTTAAGACACAAAGATTTACAAACTAAAGTTGCTAAAGTAAAAAATGAGGTGAACGCAATTATAAAAAAAATAATTATAAATCCTTAAATTTTATTTTATTTTTTTTTTTTTCAACTAGACTAATGTTTTGGAGAATCAATACTGGGATTTCTACTGTAGAAGAGCTGCTGAAGTGAATGCTATTGGAACACCAAGTTCTTTAGTTATACAGCAGTCAGAAAATTTAACTGATCATGAAGTTATCACCCAAAAGATATTAATGACAGAACTCATGGAAAATAGAAAAAGAAAACATTCTCTATCTAAAACAATTGAATCAGTAAAAAATGAAATTGATAGCTTAGAAAAACAAAATGTTTCAAACAAATATAATTCTACTATGAACAATCAAATGACAAATAACAAAAAATCAAGAATTCGTTCACAAGATTGGCCTGATGTTCCAGATATAGCTAAAATTGATGAAAAAAATCCAGAAATTTTAGCTCAAAAGATTTTGGAAACTGGTCGTCAAATTGAGGCTAGAAAAATTGTTGAAAATGGTAAGCATATAGAAACAGCAGCAAGATATCAACGATCGACTAAAATCTTCAACAGACATTCATCTGATACACCACTCAAAGTGCCTTTCTATGATGAACATGTTAAAGATCTCATTACCAGTGCTCTTAATGAACCATCATCTAAAAGTCCAGATTACAGTGTTGTATCTCCAGCCAAAGTTGCTCTTAGAAGACATTTATCACAAGTAAAACTTATTTGAAATTTTAATTAGTAAACATTAATTTATGACATTTTTGTATCCTAGGAAAAAATTTCTCCAAATCCATCTGTACAGCAAAATATGATTGCTAGAACAATTGGTGATGTTTTAAATAATGAAATTGAAAGATGCTTAGAAATGGATCGGCAAAATCGTACTTTAGAAATAAGCAATCAGTCAATTATTAATGCTGTTGTTCCATTATCTATGCATAATAATAGAACCAAAGATAATATGATTAGTAATCAACCATCAGAAAAACATCGGTCTTTTATGTACATACCTTTACCTAAAGCTGATCTAAAACCATACCAAGAATCGTTATTTAATGATGACACTCCCCCTCCAATTTTGACCACTCTTAAAGAAGAACCTGTTGAAGGGTAATATTAAGATAATATGTTTAAAATTATATAAATTAATAAAATAATTATCTATAGTTTGGCTGCATCACTACATGATCGGCTACTAGATAATGATGGCGAAGATAGCAATGGAGATGAAGGACTGTCGTTTAAAGAAGAAAAGACTGAATCCGATACACAGTCAGCACATAGGATACTCAAACGAAGTTCTCAATCACCCGGTCCTATTCCATCAAAAAAACTGACACCGATGTCAGATAGACTTCCCTCTGAAGAAGGTATTATTCTAGATTCAAGTATTATATTTCACACTTAGATTAGGTTTTGGCGTGAAATTTTATTCCGTTTTCATATTAGACTCCCATGTAGTTTTTTTCTTCAAGTTGCCTGATTGGTTTAATGTCATTTAGCTTGGCTTAACCATAAAATTAAAATATTTTGGATATATCTATCTAAGTGAATTGTTTTCTTTATTTGATTTAAACTTTTGGTGGTGGCCATTTGATGAAGAAACACAATTCACTGAATTTCCAATTAATAACTTTTAATTATAAATTTCATTTTCATTTCTATTATTTTAATTTATTTTTTTTACCCATTTTATTGTAGAGTTATATTAAGAATCTATTTAATAACTTAGAATATTGAAAGTATATAATTATCTTATATTATATTAGAAAATACTATTATTAATAATGTTCACTTATTGCATGTTTTGCTGGTTTTTGTTGCTTGTCACGCTTATTAATTTCTATTTTAGGATTTAATACTTGTACTCTAAAGTATGTCACCAGAAGTATTATTTAGCTGTATAAATAGAGGCTCTAGCTGGCCTAATGGAATTGGAATACCTAGTAAAATACTAAGGTGAGTGCACTGCATTGTGTTGTGCAATACACACTATTATAAATAAAATAATTGGCATGTGTCTATTAACAATAATAAATGATAAATATTTAATATGAATTATGGTTTATGGCGCATGGGCAAATATTTATCCATAAATTGAAAATCTTTATTTGTTTTTCAAGGGCTATTTTCTATTTTAATAAAGATTAAAAGTAAAATGATCTCACATGTCATGTGAAATAATAAATTCATTAAAAATAATACTTCAATTCATGCTGTGTAATTAAATTACAATAGTTGTATACTTGGTAATTTAGTTACTATGATAGGTGAATTGATTTTTTTTTTTTTTTAATTTTACTAGGTATTCATTCTACAGAAATTATATAGATTATTTTACCATCAATTTATTATACATATATATTATTATTATTATTAATTATTAAACATCTATATTATATATAGGAGTATTATAGATATTGATAAAATACAAAGTTATTTTAAAGTAATTACAAAACTAACAGTCAGTAAAAGGATACTAAATTATCTATTGTATAGCATAAACAAATTAGATAGATATTTTTATTTATGTATGCCTCTTTATAGTTTTGCAGCTATATTTAATTATTTGCGTATTCTCTTTGTTTTTGATAATGTAGTATACACTAATATGCATGTTCATGATAATATTATAGTAGTAAAAAATTTTAAATACTAAGAAATTAGAAATAACACTGTATTTATAAAAAAAAATTGATTTTTAACAAATTTAAATGCTTTTTAAATTAAAAGTATTTAAAGAGGACGCCTCATGCATTTTTAATGATTTTACTTTTATTTGTTGAACAATTAAAATACAATGTAATAGATACTTCACAAAATTCTAAAGAAATTTCACTTAAAATTACATAAATTCAACATCATTAATAATTAATTTTAAAAATATCAATCTAAACTATAATATTTAAGTTTCTATTTATCATTTTTTATCATTTTAATTGTTGACTATTGCTATTTGATTTCTGCAAAAAAAAAATTATACCATAAATAGTAAAGTACACTTTTATGAATTAATAATGATTTAATTTTTTTGAGACTCTTTGAAAATAAATAAACAATAATTTAAATAATTTGATTATATTGTAAAAATCAAAAAAAATTCCTTTCTTATCCTAAAGAACATTTTAAAAACTAAATATATGTACTATAATAAATTTAATCCATACAAACGAAATTTTTATTTTTAAATTAATAAATTGTTTAAAAATTAAAAATAGACGATTTTTTTTCTTATTAAAAATTTGACTAGTTTAAATCTAATCAATAAAGTACTATCATTTGAACACTTAATGTGGGTATAAAACAACAAGTATTTTAATGCATTTTTATCTCATTGAATATTTTTAGAATTTAATTAATCACTTGTATATTTCTTATAAAAAGACCTTTTAAAAATTATTATTAAATTGCTGACAAACTAATTAAAATAATAATTAATATTTAATTTTTTACAAAAATTAAAAATTGTTTTAGCATATTTTTGAACTTAAAAAATTATTAATCAATCTATAATTTTTCAATTGTCAGTATTTAACTCAACAAACTTTACTACATAGTATGTAATGTAAATTTTTATGTTACAAAAATATAGTGTTCTTTTAATATTTTAGTATTGTAATTTTATTTTATTATATTTATTTAAAGAGTACAGGAGAAATTGATAGTCTATTTTTTCGATTTTATGGTTTGTTTTAATATCCCATCAACAGTAATATCAAGTAATAATTTCTATTTACCGAAAAAATGTTTTAGTTTTGCTAATACAGAAACATCCATTTTTTTTTTTTAGTAACGAGATAAGAATATTTAATTATTATTATATATGATAATTATTTTTATTTTCTTGAAGAAATTTAAAGAACTCTACTATCTTTTTCTCGTGTACCCTTCATTTTTAAATTGTAAATATTTGCATTTTTAATCAATTTATTATTTATGAAATTTAGATGAAAAATGGAATGATCGTATTCGAGAAAGATTTGACAATTTGGTTACATTTGCTTCTCTTGAGTTAGACAAACGGAGGCGTAATAGTTCTGATGCAGCTGCAGCTAATACTAGTCCTGATAGTGGTATTGGACATGGTGATCCACCACCTGCCCTACAGCCACCTCCATCACCATCACCTCCTTTTTCTCCTGCTCCTCTTGATGGACCCTATAGCCCAGTACCAGCACCAACTGTAACAACACCAAATATACCATTAAGGTATCAACGTCATACAAACCACAAAAAGAAATCTTTCAGAGACAAGTATAAATCAACTTGTCCTAAAGCTAAAGCATGGGCAGCAAAATGGATGGACGCTGAAATTCAGAATACAAACAACTTTTTTTAGTAAGTATTTTCTTGGCTAGTTTAATTTTAAAATTTTATATCTGTTATAACAATTATAGTTACACCTTTAAATTCAAAAATTATATTAAAAGTCTTCTTTTTTCTTTTCATTCCTTTTAACAATATCAATATAATTTTATTAAACTATATTTCCAATTACTCACTCTCTCAACTAATTAATAATTAATTTTTTTGTTTTGTAAAGAAAAATAGTAAATTACTGTGTTGAAAAGAAATTTATTTAAAATTTTTATTAGTTCCTTTTTATGTATATTTTAACTACATAATGTACAATACAAGTAAATTTTTACTGTTGCATGTATACATTTATTTTAGGCATTATATTTATTTATATATAACATGTTTATATATATTTAATCTTTGTAAAAACTGCCTTAGCAAAATTAAATTGTTTACCAATTTTTATTTATTAAATTTATTTATTTTTTATTTTTTTGTTAATTTCTATTTGTGGATGTAAAATAATCAAATACTTTTTTCTAAGTATTGTAATATAACAATATCTATGATATTGATTTGAGTACTTAAAATTGTAAATAATACCTTTAAATATGTGTATAGCTAATAATTAAATATAGGTCCCTTACCATTTAGTACTAATGTGTTCTTTAATTGTTTTCATAAGACCATTATTTTATTAGATTTTGGCTTTTTATGTATATAATTTGTACAAAAAATAATGTCTCATTTACAATTAATCATAAATCAGAATAGTATAGCTCATCACTGCCTTCTTTGGAGGTCCCCATTAATTAATAAAATGTATAATTTGTATAGCATAATTAATTGTTTAGGTTTTTTTTTTATTTATTAGTTGTTTTTTTTTTTTTTTTTTAATGGGGGAATTTAGACTTTAAAAAAATGTAATGAAATATTTTATATTCAATTTTTCAAACTGCCACTCGTTAAAGTGTTCAAAACTAAATTGTAAACATTTTTTTTTAATGTAATAATTAGCATTCTTTTTTTTTTTTTTTGTTCCTATGTTATTGTAGTTGTCTAATTTTGTACAGAACATATTTTAGTAAACTTTTCATTGGATGTTATTTATTTCTTGTATAATATAAGCAATTGTGCTTCAAGTACAAAATTATGTTACATATACTAATAAATTTGTGGATAAATGTTAAATAAATTGTTTTAAGAACTTTTTAAAACATTTATTAATATGTATAAAATTATTTTAAACCCTAAAATAATCCATAAGTTAAAAACATTAGTTAAAAAACTACTTTGTTATAAAAGTAGGCATAATGTTTATATGTCCATGCAGCAAGCATGGACATATAAACATGACATTTAAAAGAGGAATACTAAAAATATTTTACATGTTATCGCACTATATTACTTGTTATCATACTATTTCAAAATGTGTCTGTGTATACATTTCAAATTATTACATAGAATTAATGCATAACAATAAGACTTCCATGAAAAATCCTTATATGAAGCAACACATGTCTATTACACGTAAAGGTTCAACTTTCCTTAACTACTTATTTTATGTCTATGGCAACAAGTTTGACTTGATTCATTGTTATTTTTATTTATTGATGAATATTCATCCATTATTGTTTTATTTTTTTTAGACCTAACTGAAATAAACTTTTTAAATATATGAGAATTAATATAATTCCTAAATTGTTGATTATTTTTTAATTTAATATGTTTTTATTTAAAAAAATATTCATATTACGCCTGTAATGATGACGACAAAAAAATGGATGATAATTTTCAAGAGCTATCCTTAATTGTTTTAAGGTATTCCACGAATTGTTGAGTTACTCTGCACTGCAAATAAAAGAAGTTATCTCAACTGCGTAAAACAACAAATGATTTTCTTTTTTTTTTCAATATTACATATTTAGGACTTCGTGCAACATTAAAATCCCAAAAAATTGTGAGACTTCAGCTCCTGTAGACTTAAATTTCTAGTGACGACCATGTATTTTAGGCTCTGCTTTTTAAAGAAGTCATAATTTTTATTTTTGCAGTCGCTAACAAAAATAACTAAATTTTATAATTCAGTATTTATTAATTATTAAAAGTTCAAAAAATTGATTTTAAAATCATTAATTATTTTTATATTTTCTATAGGCCCAAAAAATATACTTTTTTCAGCTCTCACAAGACCGATAATTCTCAACGATACATCAAAAGATCACAAATCATATCTAATTGAAGACATTATCCTTAAAAATTGAAAAAAAAATACCCTCGTTTCCTGTAAATGGGAGAAATACCCAAAAAATTACAATTTTTAAAATAGTAAATTACGACATTTTTTTTTTTTAAACTTCTATAATTTTTTGAAAAATAAACAAATTAAAATAAATTTTTCTTATATCAAAGCATTAGGTATTTCCCTTTCATTTGATATATATTTTTGAACATTTCCCTGCTCACAGGAAGAGTTTCAAAATGGCAATATTTTCAAAAAAAATTAAATTTTGAAAATGTTCCAGAAATACTGACATTTAAATAAAATCTTATTTAAATAAAGATCTTACATAAAAAGATTATGTAATATACTTTAATTTGAAAAAAAATTGACCTTTGGACTTGTCTTCATGATGAAAATAACTTTTAAAAAAAAGGCATTTTTATCAAAAAAATATTGATTTTATATTTTTGAACTTTATGTTACTATATCTTTTTAAGAATGTTTAGCTCAATATTATTTTTTTATAATAATTACTATATATATATATATACCTCCTACACTCGACATAAATTTCTTTTAAATGGAACTACTTCCTATTTCACATGAGGAGGGGATCAAAACTAAAAATTTATATAGAAAGTAAAATTTTTAAAATTTTCTAAAATATTAATACTTTTATAAATATCTTAAATTAAAGCTTCTATGATATACTTTATTTTNATCTTAAATTAAAGCTTCTATGATATACTTTATTTTGAAAAAAAAATTTTACTTTTAAACTAATTTTTATGGTAAAAACGAATATCAATGTAAAAGAAAAAAGTATGAAAAATTCTCGATTTTATAATTTAAATTTATAATGCTATAACTTTTTAAAAAATGTATGAATCAATTCTTTTTATATACTCCTTTCATACTTTTTTTTAAATCTGACCATTTCCTTTTATACAGATAGCGTTTAAACTTTAAACACGCCAATAGAAATTGACCTTTTTCAATGTAATTTTTGAAATGTTCCAGTAATACTGATATTTTTATATATATCTTAAATTAAGGCTTATATAATAAACTTTAATGTGAAAAAAAAAAAATTCAAATTTAGATTGTCTTCATGGTAAAAATCGCTACCGTATTCAAAAATATATTTTTGTGATAAAGTTGCCGGTCGATAACACTTGTGTCATATTTCAATTGTAGAATCTTTTTAAACACCAAAAGTTATTTAAAAATGATTACTATGATTTCTTTTTAAGTGATATATACAATAGAAATGAAAAAAAATAATAAGCTTTTCTGATAAATTTACTGTAAATAGTAATTATATAATTTCCTAACTGCATATTAAATCTAACAATACAATTTGTGTTATTCTCATAAAATTTTCTATTTAATGATTTCAATTTCAAACTTGTAAGTTAAGCTAAAAGTTATGGTAGCAAATTCAACTTTTTTTTATTGTAAACTTTCACAAGTCTTTTTATCAACTTAAAAGCACCAAAAAAAAAATAGGTTAAAAATGAGATTTTGTATTAAGTATTTTTAACATATTAAAAATAAAAATCAGTAATAATTTGAAAATAATTTTATTTTTGTTTTAATTATTATTTTATGTGTAATTAGTAATAATATAAAAAATTAGAAAAAGTCTAATTGCAGATTTAAAAACAGCATGAATTGTTGATTTAAAAAAGTATATTTTTAATTCTTGTAGTCCAAGGATTTTTTTCAGTGTCATTAATATTTAATTTAAGAATATTTATAATTTTCCTAATTTTGTAAGAGACAAACTTATCCTCAAGTAAGTCTAGGCCTTCTTTATCCCCATTAAAGTGCTTATAACAACATATCAACGCTATGACTAAATCAAAAAGAGTGTCCTTTGATTCTACACTTCAAGTGAATTTTTATTCACCATTTATTTTAGGATTTTGGAACAACATATAAGGTAAAGTTATCAGAAATACGTGAATAATTACCACTTATGAATTTACAACTATGTAATACTGGATTTCCAGCAATTTTATTGAAGCAGCCGTATACAATATCAAGTATTGAACCTAACTTAAATGAGGTTATCATTTTCTTTCAAATTTTATTTTATTTTTATTAAATACACGGGATAAGCCCTTTGAACATATATACACATTATACATATCAGTTATACATTAATTGTCAAATATGATAAATATTAAATAACAGTTATTCAGATAATTATAGGCAAAGAAGAAATGAAGGGTCAACTTTGGTATTTGACATCATACGTTTAATAGGCTCATTTTTAAGGTAATTACTGAAAGCGAAAGGAAAATAAAAAGGAGCAACAGATCGGGAATGACGTTGAGGAACTCTAAAACAAATTAAAGAAAGCAAATAGGGAGAATCATATTACCTTGCAATCAACTATTTAAGAACTTAATACCCGAGATATGTCTATGCTCAGCCAGCGTAACCAGCCCTAGTTGAGAAGCAACTGGTCCATAGTTGTGAGATTCACAAGGGATATTCAATCTAAAACTAGCATATCTCATAAATTTACGCTGAACCCTTTCAAGTCTAAGAGAATCATTGAGCTCATGCGGATCCCAAATTACGGCACCATACTCATTAATAGGGTGAACAAGTGCACAATAAAGCACCTTGTATGATAGACCTAACCGAAAATCCCTACATAATCTTAACACAAACCCTAGAGTTTTATAGATCTTACAACAAATATGCTCAATGTGGGGTCTAGGATCAAGATCACTACTAAGAATAAATCCTAGATCAGTTACAAAGTCATTAGAACATAAAATCTCAGTAGATCCGAGATGATAAACATATTTGACAGGTGACTGAAACCTGACAAAAGTCATGGACTTACATTTAGATGCATTNAACCTGACAAAAGTCATGGACTTACATTTAGATGCATTAAGGGATAGCCCTAGTAAATTAAACCACTCCGTGAACCGATCAAAATCACTGTAATAAAATCCAAGGATGACTAGGCTAAGGATGAGCTAAGCGAGAGAAAAGCTTAATATCATCTGCAAAACATAAAATCTGGCTATTAGAAAGTACACTTGATACACTGTTAATGAATAGAGAGAACAGGAGCGGAGATAAGTGACCTCCTTGAGGAACACCGGACGTAGCAGGATAGACATTTGATTTTACTCCAAGCAATTTGACCCATTGGTAACGGCAAGATAGGTAAGACGAAAACCAGGACAGGAGAGGTTCACCGGATAAGTTAAGGACCTGGATTAGGGCATTGTGATTAACTAAATCAAATGCTTTGTTGAAATCCGTGTAAATGGTATCGAAGTTAGCTTTACGAAAGTTGTAGAATGAGTGACTGCGATTACAATGAGGAGAAGACAGATTTATTGGGGGATAAATATTTAAAATATTTTGAAACAATAATGGAAGGCTGACAAGCACATAGTTTGCATTAAGATTATTTGTAAAATTTAATTTCCTATTTTGAAACACGCCTGTTCATAACTAAGGCGTTTTACTATGTTTATTTTTTGTGTACCTTCATAGATAAACAAGTATGAATGTGATTAGAAACTTTGTGTAATAGTGGGGATTAGAGTTGATGGAAAATTTAGGGACGGCCTAAAAGACGGACCGTCCGCCACGGACTTCCAAAAACTTCCAGAAATTTCCAATATATTCCAAAAAATTCCA